TGCAAGCTGTAAGTGAAAGTGATAGTTGATAGTAAAACCTCGCCTAACTGAGGTCGGACTGAGGTCGTACTTAGGTCGCGCGCACTTTCACAATCAACTACCACTGCCAACTTTCTAATCTTATCTACCGGGCGCTTCTTTTTTATCTCGCCCCAGATTAATCACGTTGGCATCTAATCAACCTGCCCCAGACTCAGACCTCTGGCACCCCTCCCTAGGTTCTGCCCCTCTCCACTGCAAAAGCAATATCTCAGCAACCATAGGTCCTATTGGCTTCATTCTTTTTGTGTATGATTACCTGAAGCAATTAGATTATGTCTGTGCAAACACTGTAATTAATAAATCATGTAATTCCGGTTATGAGGTTTTTTTGATTGACCTTGTAAAGCAATGAGTGTAACCCATGTATATGGGTTCACTAAGGCAGGCTGGAAAAGAATAGGTGCAAGTTTAATTGCAGAAGGATGAGATCAGTAGTCATCAGGGAGAACCTCCCACCCTAATCAGAGGTATATCTGTAAAACTCATGTATGGGGGGCACAATCTGTCGCCCCTTTCCCGCAAGTACTCTGGTCCGGGCTCTATTGAAGCTCGGCGTACTTGTAGGATAGTGGGGCAGTTAGAAAGGCTGCCCGCACTAGGCGCGCAGGTTCCGAATACCCGCACACCATACACGTCTATTTAATACATCGTTATCTTATCTTTTGCCCAGCGCTTACTGCGCTGGGCTTGTGGATGTACGATGCTCGTAACAACCTCGTTCTGGGTCGTTACACTCTCCCCCTCTAGACACGACATACGGGTCGTGTTGTATAGTACAAGGTGATGATGAATGCCTGCAACTTGTAGCAGTGCTAACAACTCAGGCCAACTGTCGGCAGCATCCAGCTTAGTTTCAAATCAACGACCTTGTTTATCTGTCCACAAAGAACTTGAGTCTTCCAAAAGGTTGTGCACACAAACTCGTGCCCAAATATCTTGGACCTTTCCAAATTCTGTCTGTCATAACGGAGGGCGCAATGTACCATCTTGAGCTTCCGAAGGAGCTCCGAGCAAGGGGCATTCATGACACGTTCCATGTGTCCCTTCTTTGGCCACACTTCCCGAATGATGACCAGAGGTTTCCTGGCAGGCAGTACCACCAGCTGCCGCATTTTGGCAAGCAGCCACGTGAATGGGCGGTCGATCAAATTTTGTCCCATTTGGGTTGTGGTTCAGACACCGAGTTTGAAGTACAGTGGACAACTGGAGATGTCACTTGGGCACCCTATCGGGATGTTCAGCACCTCCAGGCACTCACTGAGCACTTTGAGGCTCTTGGGGTGGTCAGTGTGAACCACCTACAGCCAAATCCCGCACCAGCTCTGGCGGCTGAGCCACCACTATCAACAATGTCAGTGGCCGCCGTATACCTGGTTTGGGATCCTCCCGATGGCAGGTACTGCAGTGGGTCAAATTTCATCACTGCAGGAACGACTCATAAGTGTTGAGCAGTCGCTTGCAAGCGATACCTCACCTCACCCACTCCTGTACCCATCACCGCACCCTCTATGACCACCTATGGTGCTGAACACCGCGTCTACTGGGAGCGCTACACTGATGCGTTCTGTACTTGGCTTGCTAAATGAGGCCCATACCCGGGTAACCCTCCTGAGGGGTATGTCGAGGTCTACAAGATCACTCAGTGCTACACTCCCTGCCCCAGCGGGTACGCCAACCTCATCGCAGCTGAACAGCAAGCTCTGATCAATGTACCTTGTTGGATAATGGCCTTTGACTTGTATGGACTTTATATTACATTATCCGGACTGGGGTGATTACGTATGGACAAGCACTGGAGCGACAGGGGGCGGGGAGAGAACTAATGTATGGGGACAGGAGGCTCCTTCCCAACGCCAACGCGTATCCGAGGCTCAGGCGGAGAAGGTGCGAGCCATGGACTCGGTGTTCGTGGCAAGGGCGGTTTCAACGAAGGGGACCGGCGGCGGGGCCTCGCGGAGTGTAGATGGGCCAGCAGAGGAGGCAGCGTCGGCGGTGGCATCGCGCGTCAGGGCGGCGAGGCCTGCATCGGAGCGGACGATCACCTGGTCCAAAAAGCTGCGCAACTGCTGCAAGAAGCCGGCGAGACCGGCGGTAGCTCCGGCGGTCATGGCGCCGTACACTTCGGCCCGCGCTTTGAAGAGGATCTGCGTCTGAAGCAGCGCGCGAAAAGCGACCGCTTCGTCCTTCGAGAGGCCAGGGAGCATGGACTGCGGATTGACTCGTTCATCGGACAAGGACTGGCGGAACCTATGAGTAAACTCGCGACGGAAGCACTCAACCTCGTAGTCGACGTAGCCGAGGAAACTGGCTTTGGTGATAGGCCAGTAGGGGCAAGGGTCCTCGGCGGAAGGCGAGGGCACGAAAGGACCGTCGGCGGGGGTGTCGTCCGAAGGCTCTTGGAGGGGCTTGAAACCCTGCGGAAGCAAAAGCGAGAAGTGCTTAGCGAAGTCGCGATACAGGGGAGACAGGTAGATTGCGCGTACCGCTTGCAGCCGCTTGTGGGTACCTAAGTCCTGGCCGCTCATCTCGCCGATGGGAGCGACCGAGGTCGAAGGGAGGTCAGGCACAGCGCCGTTAGCGGCGGGGGCTAACGTGGGATCAGCACGAGGGAGACGTCTTGTGCGACGGCGCGAAAGGAGAGGCCGACCTGGCTTCAATAACAGCAGCTGTTGTAGCCAAATACTGTTACGAACCGTTTAACCGCTGTGACCGTTTTGCATAACGAACCGTCAAGGTTCGTCATGTGTTACGAAGCACCGGGAGAGCTCCGGGAGCTGCCTAATAAGGCAGGCAGCCCCGGGGGAGGCCTGTTATCTCCCTAGAGATAACAGATGCCCCTAATCTGGGCAGATAAGGGCTTAATCTCACTGATTAGGCCCTTCCCCTTATCTCCCGCGCCCCCCGGGCTTCCCGGTAGCCTCGGGCTCCCGGCGGCTATTCCTCCCTCTGACCACCATACCCAGGTAGGTGATTTGCTCATATCTCCTTTATTTCTGGTCCGTTTTGGCTGATATTAGGCGCGTTCTGAACGCATTTCTAGGGCGAACAAGACGTCGCAAACGCGCTACGTATCAGGTGCGCGTTCCATGCGCTACCCAAGCACTCACCATCCCCCTTGTGCGCAGTAATCGGGCGATATCTCGCCCATATCCTGTCGCGGCGCCACAAAAATGATATCCCCAGGATCGGGATGACTACCCGGTTCTAACGAGCCCTCGCGCGCGCAAATCCGTCCAGCAGTTGCGACGCGATGCCTGCCCCACCTCAGGGGCAGGCCTGTACCATCCAACTCGACCAACTGTGGGTGTATTCCCTTCTGTAAGGGCTCGTTTTGTAGCTAACATATACTACATGTAGGGCGACGCATTCGCAAGGCCGCGCAGGGCGGTGATTCAGTCAGGGAGGGCGAGCAGGTTGGATCGACGCCCTATCGCCCGCCGCCGTGACCACTTTCACCAAGTTGCAAGACTGGCGTTCATACCAGCAGCGGTCACAGCGGTCGAGGCCTTCGCACATAATGCATTTCATGGGGGTGCCATCGGGGTCATGTCCGTGACAGCCAGTGCACTAGGAAGAAGAAGAGGGTCAGCACGAAGACGAGGAGCCAAGTTGTGAAGGCGGTGCTACGTACGCGTTCCATCTTCTTGGCCGGAATTCACGCACCGCGCGGGTACACCGGGGGCGAAAAGAGAGGGAGGCCAGAGCGGTGCGCCCGTGGACCGTGTGCCTTACCAGCGGCCGTCTTCTTGCTAGGACGGTGGCTGCCAGCCTTCTTCTCGACAGGGACTGCCTTCGACGACGATACCCGCTTGGAGGACGATGTCCAGGAGGCGGGCAACGCGGCGGATGAGAGGAGGCAGGAGCTCATCGCCTTTAGCGACGACAACGCAGGCCTCCTTCAGCCACGATACATCAGGACAGGGACATAGAAAGGCACGCGATGGCGCTCACCGCGGCGAAGACAGTTTCCTTGAGGGCATCGCACCAGTCCTGGAGACCAAAGGATGTCGCGGAGCTAGACTCGACGCGACCAGGCAACGCCTACAACAAAGAAACTAATACGATCTAACCCAAGGGCGGCGAGCGCGAAGGCTTGCTAACGCCGAGCGTAGACTTTCAAGTCAAATCTAGCCCAAGGACCAAGTTAATATTATGCTGACTAAGAGAATACAAAGGACGGCTTACCTAGCCCAAGGACCAAGAGGTCAAGATGAGGGCTAGGGTCGCTACAGGTGGGGTTTATATACTGGGTCAGGGGAGCCAAACATGTACAAACGTAAAGGTGGTCTGTGCGCACATTAGTGCCAGTCTGCAGGTGGGGGTCAGGTGACTGGTCACATGCTTCTAACTACTGGTTCTAAGTCTAAGTGTCGTACAAATGGCCGTAGAAAATAAGGAAAAATGACGGAAAAATATAAGGGGTCTCGTCGTCTCCACGACAAAGGACCTGCTCGTCTTCATCACCTCAAGGTTCATGGCCTGCTCTTCAAGTTGGCGGATA